CCTCTTCCAGGGCGCTGACAGCATGGTCTAGTTCCTCATCTTAGTGAAAACCAAGACCTAGCTATGCCAGCATAGCATCCCCCGATTTGCTCAGCCACATTCACAGGGAGGCTCAGCGGGGCCTGCAGGCTCTCCTGGGCTCCAGTTCAGACGGCCTGGGCCTGCTGACACCCAAGAGCCGGCAGCATAGGGGAAGGGAAGGTCATGTGAGGGGGCAAGGAGCAGGCACCCAGCTGGGGTCTTAGTGGCTCTGGGCGGTGAGACAGGCCAGGGAGATGTGCTCTGAAGATGGTGGGGAATGGACAGGGTGCAGGAGGCGGGGGTGACACAGACAGGAGACGGCTTTGCAGCAAGGTGTTTGCCCAGCAGGCTTCCCTGGGGAGGCAGCCCTGGGCAGAGCCCTTGGACCAGCGCTTACCATGCTGGAGCACCACCAGGCCCCGTCCCGTACTCCGTGAGCTCCCTCCTCAGCTTCCTACCAGGACCCTCCCGGTAGGCCTCCCTGCCCTGCTTGGAGGATGAGGAGGCTCAGACTGGAGTCAAGTCCAATGCTTGAGGTGGGAGAGGAACTAAAAGGTACAGCAAGGATTTGAGTCTAGTCTGTTGGAGCCCAGCTCCACGCCTGGCCTATTGATTTCCCTAGAGGACCTGGAAGGGGGTGTCCAGGCAGAGGCATATATACCTGCAGGTACAGTGGTCCCCCACCATCTGTGACGATCTGTCCCAAGACCCCAGGGGGTGCCTGGATCCTCAGTAGCACCAGACCACATAGATAGTTTTTCCTATCCGGGCATGCTTATGAATTAGGCACAGTAAGAGACTAACAACAGGACAGAACAATTGTGACAATATATAAGTTGTTTGAAATATAGGAATTGCTTATCTCTGGAATTTTCCACTTACATTTTCAGACCGCATCTAACTAAAACCTTGGTGAGCGCGGCCTGGGAGGAAGGGGAGCTCTGTACTTTGCACCTGTGGCCATCACACCAAGCCTGTCTCTGCCTCCCCTCACCCCTGCCTGCCCATGGCAGCTCAGGGCCAGCTCCTGCCTGGGTCAGAGTGCTGCAGTGCCGGCAGCACACAGATTAGAATGAATCCACCTATACTCCATGCTTTGCAGTGAGACTCCCGTGGTACTAGAGGTCACACTGATCCAGAAGCTTCAGGTCCAACCTCTGGACTAGAGGGAGCAGCCACTGCTGCCTAAGCCACCTGGGGGCAGAACCTGTGCGCTGGCTGTGGAGGCATCGTCTCTGGGGAGGCAGCGATGCTGTGGCTGGGCTGTGCTGGCCTTCCCAAGGCCTATAGGTGAGCAGGCCAGTCTGTTACCCTTGATCAGAGTCAGGTTAATTGTCAAAGGGCCTGAAGACCTAGAGTGAGCCTGCAGCTTCACCCACCACCTGGGTAAAAGACCATTGGTTAACAAGCACCTGTTATCATTTATTACTAACCGGATGAGGTCATGCCCCTCCTTACAACCCTCCATGATAGGCGTCCCACAACCCTCAGAACAAAAAGCGTCACTCCCCACCCAAGCACAAGGCCCTGCCTGGCCAGGGTCCTGCCCACCTCTGCTTATCTTATATCATTCCCACCCTCTCTCCCCTTCAGCACAGCCCCTCTTTCCTGCCAGGGCTTCCAAACATGCTGCTGCCACCCCCTGGGGCAGCTGGGGTCAGACTGATTCTGAACACCAGGCTTCCATTGTCTGCCAGCAGCCGAGATGTCAGGGGGTAGGTGGCTTCAGTACCAGACAGCCGAGCCCAGGGCACCCAGGGCAGGTGCTGATGCTGATGGCGGAGTGGATTTGAACTGAGAGGTCTCCTGCTCCTCTTAGGGACTTTGGCCAAGTGCTGTCATTCCTGGCCCTTGGTTTCCTCATCTGTAAATGGGGGTGCACCCAGCTGTCTTTGGGGGCTATTGTGAATTTTGTACGTTAGCGGGACAATACTTTGTTACCTGGAATGTCAGTACTAGGGTGGCGGCCAAGCATGCCCACGGTTGGCCCTCACCAAGGTCCAGCCTCAACCTACCAGGAGCTCCCTATTTGCCCTGCCCTGACGGACTTCCACCACCTGATCTGAGGGCATGCTTCCAGGAGATCAGAGACCACTGCCCCGGTTAAACACCCTGGCCACACAAAGCCAACCCGACAGGAGGCTGCAGATCAGCAGAGGGCAAGCCAGTGACCCTCAGAGGCCTTGGGTGGTTCCTGGAAAGGGCTTACCTAAGCGGCAGGGTAAACAGACAGCCTGAACCCCAGACCCTTGGGACAAGCTTCACTGGGGCAGGGGCAGGCAGTAGTCTCACACGCTGTCTGGACACAGATGACTGGTGACACCCACTTCCCAGGTCTGGGGTCTAACCTGCTGCCTGTTCAGAGTGGCACACCCATGGCCCTGCAGTGGCCCCCTCTGGGTACTTCCTCTCCTCTTCTGGGTGTTCCAGCTTCCAGATTCTCCTGCTGCCCTGGCGGTTGGCAGGTGGGTGCACGCAGCAGGTGTGGCTTTAAGGACCTACCTTCTCTTGGGCCTTTCAACAGTCCTGCATGACCTGGTGCAGCAGGGGACTCTTGGTCCCTCGTTTTTCTTACTGCAATGTGGGCATGATGACCTCTTGGAACATCTTAAAGGTTAAAAAACGTGAAAAGGGGCTGAGGCAGCACACAAGCCAGGACAGCAAGCTACATGTGCTCCAAGGGAGGAGGATTCTCATTTGAGCCCAGAGACATTTCCAGTGCACCTATAAGTCCCAGAACTCGAGTCCTAGTTGGCCTCTGTGCAGGCAGAGCCTCTGGCGCCCATGCCCATCAACACTGAAAGAAGAAAGGGTTGAGGGCCATCCTCAAGCAGGGCTTGTGCCCTCTGTGACAGCTTCTCCCATTCTGCATGTGACAGGTCTCTTACCTCTATACTCTGAAAGTGGTTTCTCTAAGGAAACCCACTGTTCCCCAGAGACAGCAGATATGGAGCTGGTTCTGGCCAGGCTACTCCACAAGAGAAGCCCTGAGCTTCCCTCTTCCTTCAGGAAACCCAGGAAGGCTGGCTGAGAGCACGTGACAACCAAATGTTTCCTCCCTAAAACCTTGGGAGCCCCAAGAACCCAAGAATGTAAATGTTCTGTGACTGGTGAGTGTACATGACCACTCTGTTGAGCCCTGTACACCCTTGGTCCTTGTCCATACATGTTTGCTAGCTCTTTCCAACTGCCTAGTTGACCATCTGAGAAAAAGAGCCAACACACCGGCACATAGACTCTCTCTCCTTGGCGCCTGGGGACCTGGGGGATGTAAGATGCCATCTTTGTGTCCAGAGGTCCTCATGAGGATGCAGCTCATGGGCTCCACAGGGGCCTCCCTGACTGGTACAGCCAGGACAACAGGTACAGCATTCCCACTTGCTGGGTAAATAGACAACGCTGCTGCCTGCCCACCTCCGATATCCAGGATATAACATGTACAGGCCACTTTGCAAACTCTGATACACAAACATGAGCTATCACTAGCTAGCATATGCAATAAAAGTTGGGCTTGCCAGTGGGCAAGCTCGAAGGTTATGTGGGTGTCTGGAGGGTGGGGCAAAGTTCACCCCAGGTATGGGACTAATCAGCAAGGGTGAGTTGAGGAACTTTGTAAAAGGGCCCAGCAGGGCCTGATCTCCAGTTCCTCCAGAGTAATGGAGGCTTGTGTTTGAAGTTTTCTTCCCTTTAGGTTCTCCTGTGCACTCGTCGCCACAAATAACATAGTGGCAGACGCAGGATGAGGGCAGAGAGGAGGCCTGGCATAGCACACATTTCGTTCCCAAAGGAGGGGCACCCTGCGCTGGCACGTTGACGCTTGTGCATTCCGTCCGGGAGTTCCGACCGTGCGGTCCCAACAAAGCGGCTTTGCAACGCTCTCCCCTTCTCTTCGCGATTGGCTGCTGGGCCGCGACCTCCCCTTGCGCTGGCAGAGCCCCAGCGCTTCGGCTGGGCACCAAATCAGCCCCTCACCCCAGCGCACGGAGAGGGGCGGCAAGGCTCGCCGACAGCCAGGGGCGGGGCGGGGCGGGGAGGGGCGGGGGCAGAGGGTCGGAGCCTGCGGCGCCTCCCCACGCCCGTCCGCGTTGCCCTTCACCTTCTCTTCCCCCGCCCGCCACACCCGCCCTGGCACCCCCGCCACCTGTTGGCGCGTGCTCCCGGCTGGCGCTCGCGTTCTCTCTATTTTGCATCCTGGGGTTCCGGGACAAGGTTCCCTCCCCGCCGGCTCCCAGCCCAACAAGGTTAGAGACCCGCTCCTCGTCTAGACCAGCTCGTCAGGCAGACGGACGGTGCGGGGCTCACCAAGGGAGGCGGGCCTGGCCAGCGTGGCACGGGCGCCCGGCGGGAACCGCCACCGGTCCCGCGGGCTCGCGCCTGCCCTACATTTAAACTTCAGCCCCTCCCGGTGCGCGGGCCTGAGGGGTCGCGGATGCCCAGGAGCACGCAGCGACCCATCGCAGCGCTCTTCTCCCTCGCCGGTGACCTTGGGCAGTCCCTTGGCCTCCCCAGCCTCAGTTTCCCCCTTGGTGCCACCGCCGCCCGACTCGAAGAGGGCAAGGCTGAAAGCGGCCCGCCCCCTCCCCTGCAGCAGCCAATCAGGAGCCGCCGTCCGGGGGTGTGTCCAGCCCAGGGCCCAGGCTCGGGCCCCGGGGCGGGGCTTCCGGGGCGGTCACCAAGCGGCGGGACCCGTGGGGGACGGCCGAGGGGCGGTGCGTGTCACGGGGGCGCGGCTGGCACCGTCGCGCGGAGGCGGCGCCGGGCAGGGGCCGGGGACGCAGCGGCCCCACGGCGGGGGCAGCGGGCGGCGGGGTGGAGGCGGCCGCTTGCGCCCTGCCTGGCGCCGCCTCCCTCGGTGCGCTAGCCCCGTGGACCGGCAGGCGGCGGACCGCGGCCCCAGGTGCCCAGGGGCAGGCGGGCGGGCGGAGGTCGAGGCCCTGGCGTCCCTGGCCCCAGGACGAAGAGGGCGGTGGACAGGGCAAAGGAGGGGCCGGACGGCGCATGCGCGTACCTTGGGGGCGCGGGTCTAGAGACCCTGGGACGCGGGGCGAGGGCACACGCAGAGAACTTTGCGGGGCGTGCAGGGCCCACGAGGCTGTCCCGTGCTCAGTCTCTCTCGGAGCGCCGGGAGCCTGCTCTGAACTCCCGCATCCGCAGCTGTCGGGGCTGGGGGCTTCGCGGAGTTCGGGGGACCGCAGCGACGCCGGGTCCTCTGGTTGTACCCTGGGAGGGAAGGCCCACGGGTGGGGACATCCCGACGTGCCCTGTCCTCCCCCCTGCGCGGTGGAGTTTGGGCGTCACCAGCTTGGGGGCGTTTCCCGGGACACCCCCCCCCCAGGGATCCCCAAGGCAAGGTAACCCTAGGCCCAGATAGATCGACCCTGGGGCTAGTGCACCCTGCGGCCGCTGCCCGACGAGACACAAACGCGATTACTGTCACCAGCTGCGGACCACGTTTGACGAACAGTTCTCACTTTGCTCCCGAACGCAGTGAGCAACCCAGGGCAGCCTAGGGCAGGCTCTGTGGGGTACGGTGGCGACTGCGAAACCGCACACCCAGGTTTCCCTCGTGGTTCCAGGGAAGCTTCACAGATTGATGCCCGGGATGGGAGCCGGGCCGGGCCGGGAGAGCTCTTTGCCCACGCCCACCTCCACACGCAGCTCTCGGGGCTTTCCCCCAGGCTGGCTGGCTTATTTATTTTCTCCTTAAACATAAAGGAGGGAGGTGTGCCCACGTGTCTAGATTCCTTCCATGGTTGTGTAATGTTTGGGGCGCCGAGGGGCACTCTGGAACCCTATGGCTTGCATATCCACCTCAACCTCTGCCACTACCCTCACCCCCCAAAGAAACCAGGGACTGGCTATGGGAGGAGGGCACAGAGCTTTCCCGGGCACTGCCCCATGACCCCGATGTCGTTTCAAGAAGCAGGGTCACCGTGACTTTCCTAAGGTGGTGGAGAGTTGGGGGGCATCCAGAAAACATAGTAACCATTTCCTCCTCCGTCTTCCCACTGCCAAGGTTGAAGTTAAAGGCCCTACCTGATCGGCAAAGCGACAGTGTGTGGCAAGACACGCTGAGAACCAAGAACCTGTCACCACAGGTAAAAAGGCTTAATTTACTACTTCCAGACTGAAATATCTTGTGTTTGTTTCCCTTGCACGATAGACTGGCAGTTTGGGAGTTAATCAGCACTTTCTGATGTAATGTTAAATGCATTTTCAGTGCTTGGAAAGTAAGAGGAATGTGCACGGATTCCCTTTCGGCTCTGAATGACTGTGTCATTGCACTGGAAACATCATTTCTTTGTGACAGACTGGTTTTGTGTAGTTTAAAATGATAATGAAACTTTGAGAAATGTTATAACTTACCAATCACTTGAGTTATTGACACCAACCAGTTAAGACCAGCGTGCTGTCTCCTAGCAGTTTTCATTTTGAACATTAAGCAGATGCTTGTCGATCGGGTGGGTTGGTGCCAGAACTGCCAGCAGCCCCAGCAGGGATGACCCCAGGACACAGCAGATGATGAACATCTGGGTGGTCACCCTCCATGAAAGACAAGAGGCAATGGGCTTGGCAAATCTTGTGCAGCTTCGAAGCAGAAGTAAATTAATTGATAATAGAAAAAAAAATGTTTCCTTTCCCCCCCACATCTTAAACATATAAGACATGCCACAATCCCACAACAGCTCTTTTTAACTAGCTTACATCTGTCAAGCCTGTAAACAGAGTGTTAAAAGTTTTATGTATGTGTGAGAGAATCAGAGAATAGAAAAGGTTTTTTTTTCTCTATAGTTTTGTAACTTGCTTTTTTGAATACTAGGTTAAGAGAAACAGTTCTGTGTGAAAAAGAAAATGTATTTCTGCTTTATCTTTTTAAATATCCATGTAATATTCCTTTGTGTTTAGATAGAGCAACCTTTAGTCAGTCCACAGACACACACATAGTTCGTCCCCTCTATGCCCATTCACTGAGTAGCGGCTGGGGATCACTGCACCCATCATGAACAGTGTAACTGTCCATCTGCTTATGAAGCTGATTTTCACTCTGGAATATAGAAAAGAAACCTAATGATAATTCTCATCATATAAAAGATGAAGAAACTGGAGTGCAGAGAGGGGAGCACCGTTGGCCGTAACATATTGCTCTTAGTGACATCTTGCTCCATGTGCTCTTTTTCTTGCATGCTATGAGCATTAGTGTTTTTATAATAAATATTAAGTCATTTTCTAAAACGTTCACTAAAATGTTTCTACTTACTGTAAATGCATTTTAGACTTGCCAAACTTCCCTCCCCTCCTTGCTCTCCTGTGGTCCGGGTGTGTGAGTGGGTGCGCTCTTGGTGGCAGGGGGTGAGTGTCTCGGGTGACCAGCATCACTGTTTCATGCCCACCCTGATTGTGTTGCGCCACACACAGAAGACGCGGCCCGTTGAGTTGTCCTTTTCTGGAATTGAGGTTCTCCACTTTTATACCTGGTTTTGGTGCTTGCTATAAAGTCCATTTTTCAAATGTTTTGTAGACATTGTATAAAATGGCATCACTTCTGTGGAACAGACTTGCTGTTATTTCAGCCTTATAAATACATAGAACAAGCTAGATCACCTTTTAGACTATGTGGCTAGGGAAATTAAGAACAGAATTTAAATTTATAACTTGGTGATAAGAGATTTGTGGGTTTCTTTTTTTTGTTGGGGGGATTTTGGTAGATTTTGTTTAAGTTTTTTTTTTGGGGGGGGGGTACTGGGGATGGAACCCAGGATCTCTCATGCGCTAAACATACACTCCAGCCCTGAGCTACATCCCCAGCGCCCAGATAGTTTAAGGTAAGACCCCGCTGGAGAAGCCCTAGCATCCAGTGGGCTGTGTGTGAAGGAACTTGCTTCTTCTCTGCCTTGTTCGGGGGCTAGCATGCGTGGGCTGCTTCTGGAGAGGAGTGCCCTGCGTGCTGTGGCTGTGTTTGCAGCCTATTCTACAGGTGACTGAAGGAACCCAGTCTGGTTTGCTCTTGTTTGAAGGGGTGTGTTCTTTGCTTCTGTACCACTTAATGACTCTGTACCTCCTGGCAGTGATACCCTGGAGGGCCTAAAGAGAGTGCCCGTCACAGGCTGCAGCCCTTACCCTCGCCAGCTCATCTGGAGATTGAACCCAGGGCCTTGTGCATGCAAGGCAAGCAGTATTCCAACTGAGCCATCTCCCCAGTCCCGCCCAAGTTGTTTTAAGACCCATATAGGGTGGAAAGAAAAGTATTTGGACATTTTTTTAAATTTTTGTTTTTGGGTACAAGGGATTGAACTCAGGGGTCTCAACCCCTGAGCCACATCCCCAGACCTATTTTGTAATTTATTAGAGACAGGGTCTCACTGAGTTGTTCTGCGCCTGGCTAAATTGCTGAGGCTGGCTTTGAACTCACGATCATCCTGCCTTCGCCTCCCAAGCCTCTGGGACTACAGGCATGCGCCACCATGCCCAGCTGTACATTTTGGTTGGCACCAGGGAGACAGGTTGAGGGTGGGAAAGGTTAGTCCTGGGTTCCGGCCCATGGGCTTCTGCCTGCAGGTGTGAAGGCCTCTGTCCACCTCCTCTCAGCAGAAGCTGGATTCTCCTCCAGGCCACTCTGGAGTGTTGCCAAGCTCATGAGCTCTGGCTCCAAACTGTGCCCACCCCAGGAGGTCCCGAGGAGGAAGGACACTGCATGCATTCTCACCCAGCAGATCTGCTGCCTGAGTTGGGTTTGCTCCCATTAATTTGTTATCTTTCAAAGACTACTGGAAAGAAACACTTCCCCGCCCCATAAATACCCCAAACACTTTTGTTTTCAATTTTGTAGAGGTAAAGGGACATTCTCCACTGGTAAGAACCAAGTCAGCATTGAGAAGTTCCTGTTGGCTTTGAGTTTGGATGTGACCCCAGGTTTTGGTAATAATGTATCTTGCAGTGTGTCTATATTGTGCCACAGATTGTGCCTGGTCCTGCAGGGCCCTGCTGAAATGCAGTCTCCATGCAGTCTCCCTGGCTGCACAGCCAGCTGCTGTCCAGCATTGAGGCTCCTTGTCGGCCTGGTCGGACTCCCTGAGGGCAGAGTGTGTCCTGTTTGTTACTGCTCTGCTAGTCCTGTGCACTCAGTAGGTGCTTGTAAATGCTTATTGAATATGTGAATGGTTAATAGAATTTAAATCCCAAAAACTTATGTGATCAGCACAGTAGTCAGCTGTGCATGGAAGCTCCTGGGGGCCGCCTAAGCTGTAGTGCACACAGCTCCAAGCCTGCAGATGACCGCTTATCCTGTCCCTCCACGGCGGGATACCCCTTGGCATTTCCCAGCTTCCCTCATGTAGTTGCCATTGCAGCAGGGCTGGGAGAGTTGCAGCTGAAGTGTTTCGGTTTGTAGTGGTCACTAAGTTTGGGAGGTGTTGTACATTAAATAGACTTATGAAGTGGCTTGAGGATCTGTTTAAATAAAATGCTATTTTTTTTCCTGTAAGATCATGGATTCAAATGCCAAACAACCAACGCAGTAGGAAAGGGATACCTTGGTGAGTTGGGAAGTGTGGGAATACTGGGAGATTCCTGCGAGAGATTTGAGAAAACAGTGATCAGATGTTTCCGGTGCAGCCTGCCTCTGTTTTTTATTTGGCTCTATTTTAATAAATTTGCAAATAAAGAGCAATAAAAATGTCTGATCTGATCCATGTGCTTGACACTTTAGGGGCCAGAAGCAAATCTTTGAAAGAGCGTAATTGGAACTGTAAGAGTCAGGAATAGAATGCAGAACTGTCTCAGAGGTTGTGAAGCCGGTTATGAGTGATTCGAGTTGAAGTTAGGGTCAAGAGTGAGGGGGCCCCAGGCGCTCTTACAGCCCCTGTAACTGAACAAGTCTGTCCTTTTGTGATAACCACACGGTGGTGACAAGTCACCAGGCATCAGCAGGAGAACGGTCGACCCGTGGCCGCTTGACTTCCTGAACCACGCCAATCAGTGGCCAGCCTGAGGCGCACTGAAAGGCACATTTACTGTGAAGCACTCTGGCTTGTGACAGGCAGGACTGCTCCCTGGCCAGGCTGGTCTCCGTGATCTGAAAGTGACCTGAAGTTTTCTCTATCACCTGTATGTGAACTATGAGACGGCTTCCTGGAAGAATTTTTAAATGCATTTTCTGGCAATTTTCTTTACTGGGCAAAATAACACAAGCCCCGTAGGAGCCTTTGTCTAGAATTATGAGCAAATGTGATAACTTCTTTCCTGCAGTTCGATTATAGCTCATTCCACGGGACAGCTTGGTGACTGAGTCGGTGTCGGGTGATTCCCTGCTCACCTTCTGTGTGTTGGGATGGGATTAACATCAATGATGTTTGTAGAAAAAAAATGGTCAGAGGACTTTGAAATTTGGTTCAGATGGACTCATCTCTCAGTATGTGGAAGCTATTTACAATAAAAACAAACAGGGCAGTATTTGATGTGGCTACAATATCTTTGGACTTTACAATCCGTCTATTTATTTGCTTGATTTTTGTGCTACTGGGGACAGAACCCAGGGGTGCTTTACCACACTCCCAGCCCTTTTTATTTTTTCATTTTGAGACAGGGTCTCACTAAGCTGCTGAGGCTGGTCTTGAACTTGCCATCCTCCTGCCTCAGCCTCCTGAGTTGCTGGGCTTACAGGTGTGGCCACTGCACCTGGCTGCAGTTTATGAGGGAGAGTATTTTGCCTAAGTACTATATTGCCTTTCCCCCACTTTGAAAAATGTTACAAAACCTGTCACCAGATATAGGCAAGGGAACTTTGGCTCACCTTCCCTGACTGGCTGTCCAAAAGTTCAAAACGTGACCCTTGTTCTCCTGTCCTTTGAAAACCTCGCTTGTCTTGTCGAGAGCGTTTTCCAGAAAGGAAGACATTCTGTCGCTGCCATTTTTGAGACATAAAGGCAACCTCCTCTGTGAGGATACTTGGTGACAAGTCCTGAAAGAGGCCAGCAGTTGGAAAAGCCAATGCACAGATGCGCAGCCCACCTGCGCTGGAGCCCGCGTCCAGAGGAGGGCTTCGGACAGGGAGAGGCACCGCCAGAGAAAGTGGTGGGGGCTTCTGGACGCAGCCAAAGCC